TAGAAATATTCCGACGAATTGATAACCTTCTCCTGTTTTGGAAGTCGGTAAAAAAAATAAACGAAAAGTACCCAGTTACATTTTTCATTTAAAATTTTTAGGCAATTTGAAGATAGTCTTTTTGCATGTTAAGTTTTTGTCCAATCTAATATATGGAATTTTAGTTTTAATTTTAAGCAGGATAATGCGAAATTTATTAGTTTGCCGAAAAACTTTTAACTATCAAAAATATGTTAGAAACAAATGCCAAATAATTAGAGAAAATATTAATGTTTTATTAAAAATTTATTTCGCCATCAATTTAAACAAAAAGTTCACCATAAACGCATGGTATGTATTAAATAAAATATTTATAGGTGAAATTTATGAGTTAATAAACACGTAATACCGAAAATTTTCATTCATGCGTTAGTTAACCCAAAAATCGCAATTGTAATGTATTTTTTTTTTTACCTTAGCATTTTTTCAAACGAATTTACTATAAATTTGTAATTTGCAAAAGAGTGTCATGGCTAGTGTTTAAGTATGTGTGCTGCTGCGTTGGCAGCATCATCTCGGAATTCAGGCACCGTGGGTAAATTATTTGCAACGCCTCTTAATACAACAGCCGCTGTGCTCATTTTCAAAATCACACGCATTTTATACAAATTGAAGAAAATAATAAATACATAAATACATGGGTACATACATACATATTAAATGTGTAAAAAGGGGCATTCCAGCCCAATTCGAACACCATTCGACTTTTGTATCGCCGATTTTAAAAAATTTTTTTTTATGTTGTATATAGTAACAATTGAGAGGCGTCCGAGCTTTGTTGGACAAAATTTGTTAGTTTTCCATTAATTTGAAAATTCGAAAAAAATATATCGCATTGCTATCCCATTATCGGACTAGCTTAAAAGTTGTGGAATGAGTGGCAGTTTTTTGAAAAAAATTTCAAAATAATCGACCAGTACGTGTTTTTTGGCAATCAATATTTTATACTAAAAATTTTGAAGCTGTATAAGAATACGGTTTCGAAATATCGATATCTCGAAAACGGATGAAAAATAATAAGAAAAAAAATCAGAGATGCAAAAGCCAAATGGTGTCCCAATAGGGCTGGAATTGTCCCATAAATGTATAAAATAATAGGAAATAAAAGAGTGAATTGAATTTAATGCAAAAAAGTTGATAGCTGGTCGAGAACACGATTTTTTGTGCACGCACATATAAACGTATACAGATTTACAAACACACATATGCATATTTTTGGAAGCTTGACACGTTTCTACAGCCATATCGCGACAAAGTTGTTCTCGCGGCGATTTTCCAACCAATTACATCGTTATTTTATTTCGACTCACCTGTATCACCATCACCATATTCAGCCATGGAATCGGTATCACTTTCCACACCTGGCTTGTTCGCCGAACTAACCGATTGGCGACCAGCGCTCTTGTTATCCAAACTGCAAATAAAAAATAAAATATATAAATATGACATCAATAATTTTCCTAAATATTCGTTCAAACTTACGGCTGTGAGTATTCATGGAATCCACCTTCGTCCGGATAGTCACGACGGCCGTTCGCCAATTCACGATCATGTACATCATATTTGCCACCACGATTGCGTCGTATTATGCAAATAATAATGAAAAGTATAATAATGAAAGCCAAAGCCAACATCATGCCAATGAACCAGCCAGCATTTGCCACATTCTGATTGGGCACTTTAGTAGGTCCTTCAACAACGATTTCTCTTAGTTCACTGGGTGTTTCGTGGAGTCCATCAACTGCGACCACGCGGAATTCGTAAACATTGTCGGGGTCAAGACCAGCGATCTCTTGGAAGTCTCTGGTAAATTCCGGATCCACTTTAACGAAGTTGGGCTCACCTTTGATTCTGTGTGGGGAAAATAAAGATGAAATTTATGCAAATTTTAATTAACTCTAATATATTTAAATCGTGCTGTTTGTAACATGGTATGGTTTTGAAAAGCACAACATTTTAACCTAAATGTTCTCTTTATTTGATTTAAGTAGTTTCTGAAATAGTTTCTAGCACAAAGTATATTCTTTAGTTATAAATTTATTTCCTTACGCACCTGTATTGTGTGTAGAAGTGTGTGCCCGCATGCCCTTCGGTGCTGGGATGCCAGTTTATGCGATATTTAGCAAAACCATTATCGGATGGCAATTGCTCCCAAGCGAATGCAGGTACGGCTGGCTTCTGTGAGTCCTCTGGTAATGTACGTTTCTCAATAAAGTGCCTACAAACATAAATTTCATACATAATATTCGTAGGGTATTCAACAATTTCTCATCAAACTCACTCTGATCCCTCGCCCATTTTTGTTGTCGCTGTTATGGAAATTCTATACTTAGTATTTGGGTGCAAACCAGCCATTTTGGTGCTCGTCTGTCGTGGATCGGTAATGTGCGGTTCGAGTTCACGTCGCTCGCTTACATAGCTTCCCTTCACTTCTTCGTAGTAGATTTTGAGCCGGTCAATTTACCATTTGGCTGCAATGGTTTCTTCCATGTCAACCAGAAGGCAGATGAACCCAGCGGGTAGGCATCCAATGATTGTACTGGTGATGGCACACCTTCCGGTGTATCGAAATCGATGACCACACTTGGTGGGCCATTAAAGCGTCCATTGTAGGCGAGCACACGCGCAAAGTTCTTCGAGTCGGGTTTGAATTGTGTCACGAGCGCCTGATCGGAAATCGCATCAACGTGTATTTCGCGCAGCGCTTCCTCACCCTCCTTCTCGGTCCAAGTTTGGATTTTGTAGCCCTTGAAGCGACCACGTACTGATTCGGGGCTGACGTGATTCCAGCGCAGCATAGCTGTGGTAGCGGCTGTGACTTGAACCATGCTGAAGTTAGTGGGAGCTTCCAAGGGACCTTCAATAAAACAAAAAAAAAAACATTTTATTTAAAAAATGTCATTGCTTATACAAGCATTTGGTGAAATTGATACTTACGATCTTCGCCTGAATAGCCTACTACTTCTGTGGGCGCCACATTTGCTTCACCTTTTTGATTTATAGCCACTACTTTGATCAGGTATGGTACATAGGTTGGCTGATCTGGTATTACCATATTACTCTGCCGCCAATCGTAGATGTCTCTACTCTCCCAGGAGGCTGCAGGTATATCGCGTTTCCACGAGAGGCGGTAATGGAAGTCCGGTGCATTGTGATCAATTTCTGGCATTGGCGTCCATGATATAACCAAGTTATTGGGCTCAGTTCCCATGCCTTGAACATTGTCCGGGTTCTTGTAGGGCACATCTGCTGGCGTTGTGCATACTTCACTGTTCTCAGATGGCGGCGACGGTCCGATTTTGTTGATGGCTTTCACACGGAAGGTGTAGTTAGCCCAGGGTGTTAAATCAACGACAAATGCAACCTCGGTGGAGGGAACTTTCTCATACGAGATATCCCAAGAGTCGGGCGTGAAGGAAGTATTGAATTCGAGGGTGTAGTATAGAATTTTTTTTTTTTTTTTTTTTTTATGTATATTACCGCATAACTTTGGACCACGTTAACCGATTTCGATGATTCTTTTTCTATCGAAAAGGTAGTGTCTCACAGGTGGTCACTTACTAATTTGGTTTAGATCCAATCATTTGATCATGAAAAAATTTACGATACTCCTAAATTTTTATATGAGAATTGAAGTCGTTTTTGTTTTTTGCTTAAAAATTACTTGTTTTTTTATTAGATACTACATAGTAAGTTATTTTTACTGTATTTTACAAATTCATCAACTATAAATTCCAGAACATAAATAAATCATAGTGCGTTTGATATACATACATATCAGTGTTGGCAAAATGTTAATCTGATTAACGATTACAAATTAACGATTAAAATGTTAATCGCGATTAACGATTAAAATTAATTAATCGTAATCATCCGTACGATTAATGATTACATTTTATTAATCATTAATCGTCGGTTGTGATTACGATTAATTAATTTTAATCATTAGTCGTTAATCCAATTAAAAAAAATCTGATTGAGTGCTCTGGTTTGTCCGAATTTGAAACCAAACACGGGTTATAGTTTTTTTTTGTGTTTCACGCTTATAAAAAACGCATAATATATAAAAAAAATAATAATAATTATTATTAGTAATACATAAATTGGGAATTTTTATAACCCATCGCACATGTGCAGAGGGATATTAAAACCTAGTTTGCTTAGCGTCTGCTAAAATAGATCTTAATGAAAATGCACACCAAATTGCTTAGATTTATGAGGAAAACCGACTTGGCCATATCCAATTAACTGGCCTTGTGTGCACAGTAAAATTCCAGCACAAATTAATTAATCACAAAACCTACTTAATCACATTAAGGGTTAATGATTAAAAATACATTTTTTTAATCGGGGTTACGATTAACTGTTTAATCACATTAAAATTAATCATGATTAACTGTAATCGGATTGAATTTAATCGAGTTAACTAATTGATTAAAAAATCAATCGATTAGTGCCAACACTGATACATATGCATATAAATTTCTTAAACAATTTATTTATTCATTTTATATTTGATCGAGGAAACGGGAAATGTACTGATTGCATGCTTGTTTCAGAAACTTAAAAATTCTATCAGTTTTAGATTTTTCAGGCAGTTATTCAGTCATGACTCATGAGCAAAAATATGTGATAACGCCGTGCGATAGTCAATTTTACACACAAAAAAATCAATTTGTTGGCGTAACTAAAGACTAAAAATAGAAATCCTGGCATCAGATTTTTTTTAAGAACTTTGAAATTTCAAAACTTCAAAAAATTATTTAAAAATTTAGTGCAATGTAGACTAACAAGATGGGTATCAAACAACAAAGGAAATTCTGAAGAATTAAACATGATACAATTTTTTCGTGCGTAAAGACTAATAGGTGTTGAAAATATGCTTTTAAAATTTTGTCCTTGAATTTCCTTGAAAATTTGCGATATTATTTTTGAAAAATATATATATTTAACACTAATAATATACACACGATCTCATTCTAGAATTTCGTACTTCTAACTAAACAGGGAATTTCCAATCCCTATTCGTCCTTGTGAACCAAAAATCTTTATTTTTTTTTAAATTCTACTGAATATTCTCTTTCATTTCTACATTGCTCTGAGTGTTTTTTTCGTTTTGAATAAAAAGTAGTGAAAAATTCACGTTTGTTATTTTAACTTTTTTGTAATACTTTATTGAATTTCTTCCGACTGTTTTCGAATTTTAGTAGTGCTCTTTCCGCCGTAGCCGTGGGCTTAAATGTCCCTACTGCCACTAACGAGGCCCGTGGTTCAATTTCTGCCCCAGCAAGATCAAAAAAAAACTTTGAAAACTTCGAAAAACTCGAAACTTTTATTGAGAGGTCAAGATTTGTATGAAACGAAAAAAACCGGTTTGTTTGATAAAAAAAAATCCGCTTTGAGACCGGTTTGGCCTTTACATTTACATTCCTTTGGTCTAAGGAATTCTGAAGAAAAGTAGCCTACTTTGGACCCTTTTTATCAAATTACACAAAAAATCTGCTTATGTTTTCATTCAATAGAGTAGACACGGTGGCTTAAACACAAGAAAAGGATTAAATTTAACCAACAAAAGCGTACTTTTGACTTTAATTTTACTATTTAATACTGTAAGTGTAGGGTACTATCTCCTTAATGCCAATGTATAGAAAAACCCCTGTCGGGAAGACTGTTTTAGAGGCCGTTTAAATAATTCGAGGACATTTCACTCCTTGCCACTTTTACAGCAAGAAGGAAAGACTGACAATCATCAATTTACAAAAAATTTTTAAAACAACCAAATCCAAAATTTTATTGGTTCAATTTACCTTATGAATGTGTGCGTTATGCGACACATTTTGAGAAAATGTCCATCATATTTTTCTTGCGCTCATTTTTCCTTATTTTTGGTGTTTTTTAAAGTCGTGTACATCATGCATTTAATTTAATCATGGCCGGTTCAAATCAAAAATTAAGACTTAATTATGTTAATTATGAATGAATTCGTGAATGAAAAGCAGCCAGCACTGGGCAATTAAATATTTCAGTTGGAAAGGAATTTCAATAAATAATTATCAATTTGTATATAAACATACTATCCAAAATTGGGCTAAGGGGTTAGTTTTAATTATTTTGAAATGGTTTTATGTTATTGGCTATCAGGCTAAGTCGCCTTTTCCATTCATTCATTTCCATTCGATAAATCTTTTTTCGTTTTAAATTATTTACCAAGTAAATTTGTATATACATATTTATACATTTTCATCGCATTGGAGTAATTAGTACCTAGTAATGGCCAGTGGTTACTTTTGTAATATAAATTCATTTATTATAAAAAATAAAATATGTTCGCAGCTCATTTTCATCATCAAATGCAAATAAATGAAAATAAAAGAAATTCGAAACTGAAAATTATTGGCCACAAAAATAGTCTAACTACATACGGACAAAAAATAAAAAAATAAAACAAAAATATGCATAAAAATAATAAATTCGATATCATGGCGAATGAACCGATTAAAGCCATTAATTGGGGTAACGCTTCGCAGCTGCATATCACATTTCAATCGATATTAAAAT